TTCAGCTTCAGGTTGGGACATTCGAGCACCAAGAACAGGACCTGGTACAGGGTTTCCATGTTGGTGGCAGCAGGACCAGCTGGAGGTCATTGCTTCTTGACCTTGAGCATCACCACGGACCAAGTAGTCTGAGAAGTCTTCTCATGCAAAGCAGAGGCCAAGTACAGAACACATGTGAAGTGGTTGAAAAGGAGAAAGATGTCATAACACAGATGAAAATCACAGAAAAGACAATCAGAAACAAATAGACTTAAAATGGATAATCTTAAAAAATTTCTTGGGGGTTGGAGGTGTGGCTCAGATGGTAGAGGAATGGCTAATGAGCAAGGACTTCAGAATTTGCTGAATTTGCATCTCAGTCTTAGAATAAAAAAGGAAGATATGTTTCTTTGTTAAAATTGAAAAAAAAAGTCCTCCAAAGGACAGCTAGACAAAAAACTAGACACAGATGAATAGATTGGTTAAATTGGAAGGTATATCACAGTAATCACCTAAAACACAATACAGAATGATAAAAGGGTGGGGGAAGACTACAAAATCAATAAAAGACATGAAAGATAAAATGAGAAAGTCTAACACGTAGCTCAATGGAGTCCCCGAAGGACAGAATACAGAGCACGAAGAAGAGAAAATGTTTGAAACACACTAGATGATTACTGTTCCAGAACTTACAGGAAAATATGAAGAACTGATGGCAAAAGTAGGAAACATGACATTTTCTAATAGAATAAAGAAAAGAAACTCACTCTTCAACTTATAATATAGGCCATCAGAAACCTCCTTACAAACAAATACCAAAGTTTTCCAAGGAGTTCTACAGACTTTCATTATTCCACCAGGCCAGAGTAACTGAGGAGAGCACAGAAGGGAATGGTAGGCTAATTCAAGCTACTTGCCAGTCACCCTACATGAGATTTATTAAGTAATAGTATGTGAAATGATAGAACATTAATTCTTGAAATTCAACAGCAATTTAGTTTAAGAAAGTCTAAAGTTTCATTACTCACACTAATAAAAGAACAAGCATATGATTACCTCAGTAGAGGCCAAAAAAGTTATTTGAAAAATTAAATCTCAGATTTTTATTAAAGCAAACAAAACCTAGAATTAAAAGGGGAATACCATAACCTGCTAACATAAATCACGTTATCAACCTATATTATATATTATTTTAAAGTTGGGAGTGTTGGATACTCATTTTTGACTAGAATAAAGTAAGAATGTCCTCTATTATTGACTATATGTGGTTTCGTTGTCTTGCCAAAACAATAAGACAAGAAAAAGAAATGAAAGATGTAACAATTGAAAAGGAAGAAACAATGTTTTCATTATTTAGTTTTTTCATAAAAAACCTGTAATAACATAAAGATACAGCACTAGAAATAAAATATTTTATTATTCATTAAGATTATTATATACTGAAACAGAATTAAAAAGCATAATAGTAAGAGTCAAGATAACCTTCAATTGCAACCAAGAAATACAAGATACTTAGGAATGAATCACATGAAAAGATTAGCTGAGCACTGACTCTTATGTCTATAATCCCAGCTACTTTGGAGGCTGAGGCAGGAGGATTGTTATTCAAAGCTAGCCCGGGCAAAATAGCCAGACCCTGTCTATCAAAAGGTATATGAGAGCCAGGCACCGGTGGCTCACACCTGCAATCCTAGCTACTCAGGAGGCTGAAATCTGAGGATCACGGTTCAAAGCCAGTCTGGGCACAAAAGTCTGTGAGACTCTTACCTCCAATAAACCACTAGAAAACTGGAAGTGGCTCTGTGGCTCAAGTAGTAGGGCGCTCACCTTGAGCTGAAAAGTACAACAGCAGCACCCAAGCACAGAGTTCAAGCCCCACCACTGACAAAAAACAAAAAACAAAAAACAAAAACCACGGTATATTAGATCTGTGCAGAAAATCACAAAATTTTGGTACAACAGTCTTGAAGGAGACCTAATTGAAAGGTACACTGTGCTTATGAAGAAGTCACTGTTATAAAGATACTAATTTGTTGACAAATTGGTCTGTTGATGCAATGGAATTGTAATTCAAGTCTTAGCACAGTTTTGGGTTATTGATTTGTGGAACTTTCCAAGTTGTTTCTAAACTATGTGAAAGTAAAAGGAGGCAAATATAATCAAGACACCCCGAGTGGGGGAAAATTAGGAACGTTCCCTGTTTGATATTATAACTGCTATGGAAATGAACTTCAGATGGTATGCAACTAGCACAGAGAGATAGACAATTGGTATTATAGGAGCGAGGTCTGGGCCACACTGGAAACCTATGGGCGAATCAGGCTGCAAGATGATGTCACAAAACCATGAGAGCATATTCCTGGTTATAAATACTGCATGTCTTTTTCAGTTAGTAAGAAATAGCTCTTTTTTTCTAGAATGAGAACATTATAGTGTTTTATAATAAATTCTTTTGTATGTATGTGTGCCAGTTCTGTGGCTTGAACTCAGGGCCTGGACACTGTCCCTTAGCATTTTACCTCAAGGCTGATGCTCTACTACTCGAGCCCACAGCTCCCCTTTTGGCTTTTTTGATGGTTAATTGGAGGTAAGAGTCTCATGGACTTTCCTGCCCAGGCTGGCTTCAAACCGTGATCCTCAGACCTTGATCATCTGAGTAGCTAGGACTACAGGCGTGAGCCTCAGTACCTGGCTTACAATAAATTCTTTGTTGGGGTAGCAGGGGGGTGGGGGGCAGTAAGAGAAGATATCTAAAAGCAAAACCATGCTTCAAAGTCATGTTTCCTATAATACACGTTGTACCAGTGCTGGAGACTTTAAGTGAGGGTATGGGTACAGGATTCCTTTGCAGACGAGTCCTTATGACGTTGCACCCATAGCAAAGGGTTAGCAGACATTTTGCTTCCCAACTTAGTAAACTAGTGATGAACAGGAGTCATGCTCACAAAATATGGCATACCTTGACCTGGGAGACAAAGATTCCTTTTTGTTCTGCTTGCCTCAGAAGTGAGGAGATTCTGAAATGTAGTAGAGCTATTACTGGCATGCTTGAAAATCAGTGTTGCAAGAGAACATGGGAAAATCTTTTTCCAGACAGAAAAGCAACCAAGTGGCCTAGAAACCTGCCCACCTCTCTCTCTAGGATGGAAGAGCTTTGCAGGGGAAATGCTTAGTCCTCACCCCAGATTTTGACTTTTACTGACAGTTCCCAAGTGCCTGGAGAAAGCAATTTTTTTGTTGTTGTTGTCAGTTGTGGGGCTTGAACTCAGGGTCTGGGCACTGTCCCTGAGCTCTTTTGCTCAAGGCTAGCACTCAGCCTTTTTAATCCACAGCTCTACTTCCAGTTTTTTGAGTGGCTAATTAGAGATAAGAGTCACATGGGGACTTTTCTTTTCAGGGCTGGCTTCAAACCACCATCCTCAAATCTCATCCTCCTGAGTGACTAGGATCACAGGCGTGAGCCATCAGCACCCAGCAGGAAAACAATTCCTTGTGAATAAAATCTTTGTTAGTGCAAAGCCCATGCTCAACCTGAATATCCAGAATGATCAGTTTGAACCTCCAAAACTTACTATGATTTCCAATGTTCTTTAACTGGGAAGGTTTTCTAGTTTAATGAAAACACAGGGTAAAAATGGGAAGGTATAGCTGAGTGCCAGTGGCTAATGCCTGTAATCCTAGCTACTCAGGAGGGTGAGACCTGAGGATCACAGTTTGAAAGCAGCCCAGGCAGGAAAGTACGGGAGACTCTGATCTCTAATACATTACTCAGAAAAAGCTGAAGTGGCACTGTGGCTTAAGTGGTAGAGCACTTGCCTTGAGCACAAAGAAGCTCAGAGACAGTGTCCAGGCTCTGAGTTCAAGCCCCAGGACTGGCAAAAAAGTAGGGGGGGTATGGAAGGGCTGGCTCAGAAAATGTGTATGTTTCATACTATCACTGTCCTGGGTGAGGCTCCTGCTGCCCTTGGTGAGGTTATGACTTTCCTTTTAAAGATAAAAACTACTATTATTGCTGTCCTTAATAACCTTAAAGAATGCCACCAGTGTTTTTAGAGCTAGGATCAATATTTTAAGAATTTACATAAAGTCCATGGTTCAGAGATTTTAAGACCTGTCATAGAGTGGTTCTCTAAATTTGGCTCGATTCTGAGCCTTCTTTGCTGGATGTGATGCCAGCTCATTCCAATAGGAGACAGAAAATTCTCTGTCTGCCCCAGGTTCCTTTGCAGGGGGAAGGGGAGTTAGAGAGGAATCTGGAGAGAGTCAGGGTTACAAGTGTTCACCTCAGCCTCTGGGCCCCTCCATCTCCCGCCTCATTGTTGAAGAACAGCTCCTGCTGTTCTGACTTCTGACCCTTGGAAAGGCAGCATATGAACTGGGTGCTGGTGGCTCATGCCTGTAATCCTAGCTACTCAGGAGGCTGAGATTTGAGGGTTGTGGTTCAAAGCCACAAAGCTGGAAGGGGAACTGTGACTCAAGTGGTAGAGTACAAGCCTTGAGCAAAAGAAGTTCAGGCCCTGAGTTTAAGCCCTAGGACTGTCAAAAAAAAAAAAGGAAGTTAGGAAGGAAGGAAGGAAGGAAGGAAGGAAGGAAGGAAGGAAGGAAGGAAGGAAGGAAGGCAGGCAGGCAGGCAGGCAACATATGGCTGAGGCTGACAAGTTACCTTGTGGTTGGATCTGAGTAGGACTTGTCCCTGTCCCTACCATGTCCCCACTCTGGGTCACTGGGCTGTTATTTGGAAAGTTCTGTCTGCCCAGGTCTCCTCAAGACTTTGAACATGGACCAGATTCCAGAGTGGGATTCACGTCCCTTCTCCTATTGCTAAAAACTGTCCCTGTTCTTTTTCTCAGGGAAGCCATCCCCTGCACAGGATCAAGGAGGACCTAAAGGGTAGGAGATCCTTTCTGACTCAGGCTCCCCTTCCCATCCCACCATCTTGCCTTCCTTTGGCCAACATTACCCATCCAGTAAGGGTTTCCTGGGTGCCACCAGCAGCCCACAGCCCTCTGTGCCTCAGCAGAATGACATGCCACCATGATGCTGTCATCAACACTTTCCCAACTCGCTGCTCTCTGTGGCTGGAGCACAGATCTCTAGCTGGCCCTGGGTTGGCAGAGCTGACCTGGTAAGTTTATTTTAGCCCTGCCAGCAGGTGGAGGAATCAGAAAACTGATCTGAGCCTCAAAGAAACCACACCAGAAGCATACAATGCTGACAGGGACTGGTGCAACCCACTTGTGCAGACCCAGGGTAGATGCTGATGGAGAGACACATCACAGTCTTCACCAAAGTGAACGTTATGAGTGTCACTCAGCTGGGCGTAGGGAATGCCTGGCTTCCAGAGTAGCACTGCCAAGGTTGGGTAATAACAACGGGCTTTTCATCCCAGCCCATCCACATCCCCATATGCAGACATTTGCTTGGAGATACCATGGCAACCACGATGCCACAATGGAACATTCTTTCCCAAGGTAGTCGGAGAAATTCCTCTGTTGAGCTCTGCTGTGGAAGGCCAGAGGGAGTTTGTTTCTCCCTCAGTGGAATCCGTTCTCAGAAAGACTCAAGGATACTATGAGGCGAGCATGGTGACTTAGCACTGACTTCATGGGCTACTTAGGTCACTGTTCATGGTATCAGGCAAGGATGGTGGCCTGGTGGTTTGGTCTGCAGTGAAGCACCCAAGGGCTTTGTATTCAGAGATTCCTGAGCTCCAATTCCAACTTTCCACTTGGTAGCTGTTGGACCTTAGGCTAGTCCCTCAAGGTCTCTGTTTCTGAATCTGTAAAATGGGTCTGTGAAGGGTTCTGCCTCATTGCTGTAGCTACGCAAATGAGCAGAGCTAAATGTTGGGGTGTAGAAATACTGCTGTTTACCATCAAAAAGACTCTCTGGTATTTTTCTTAAGCCAGCAGATTTTGGGGGAGGAGTAGAATAACAGCATAGACAGAAAGCTTAGGGGTGCCCGTTCACCCAAACTCTGCCTTTTCTTCCAGTAGCATTTTGTGGCCACAGAATTAAAGCAAGGGTTGAATTCCATGAATCAGAACACAACCCTTCATAGAGAGCCAGCTCTCTAGGCTGCATTGAGGAGCAAGTGGAAAACGTGGGCTGCCTTCTCTCCTCTGGCCACCTTGCTAATTGCTAGCTAAGAGTGTGTGCAGGACAGCAACTTCCTGCCTCTTTACTGCATATCCAAGCACTGAGGATGTGACAGGTTAGTTTTCCATGATCCAGACTTTTTTTTCTTTGTTTGTTGTGGGGCTTGAACTCAGGGCCTGGGCACTGTCCCTGAGCTCTTTTGCTCAAGGCTAATGCTCTACCACTTTGAGCCACAGCACCACTTCTGTCTTTTGAGTGGTTCATTGGGGATAAGAGTCTCATGGGAACTTTTCTGCTGGGCTGGCTTTGAACCTCCTGAGTAGCTAGGATTATAGGTGTGAACCACGGGTGCCCAGCTTTTTTTGTCGGCTGTGGGGCTTGAACTCTGGGCCTGGGCGCTGTCCTTCAGCTCTTCAGCTCAAGGCGAGCGCTCTACCACTTGAGCTACAGCGCCACTTCCGGTTTTCT